GCATGCAACTGTGCCGAAATATCGGGAGCTAAAACAATTCAATCGTGGTAAGAAACCCGTATCTTACGAACATTATACTATAAACTAACCGTTATTTAAAACAAAACTTGCAAACTACGAAAGAGATAAAATAATGAAAAAAATATAGCGAGTGAGAAAATGGTTTTTTCACAATCATTTTAAAATTGTAGTTCTCACGCCGAATAAAATGAAATTTACATACATTAAAAAAAAACATTTCCCCTATCAGTCGGACAATTAGAGTAGGAATGAAACAGTATCTGCATCCAGACATGAAAAGTGGTAAACTAAGATCGTTTTTAATTCTTTGGTATGAGAAATCTTAACTGACAGACTTAAAGTAACCAGAGACAAACATTGTGAATAAATGTGATTGACCTATTACGTAATTTGTTACCTATCAAGTGTGAGCTCCTCGAGGTGGTTGAGGTCGCAGGCGATGTACTCCAGCGCGTTGTCGGTGACGCGCGGGCACCAGCTGAGGTCGAGGCTGCGCAGTCGCGGCAGGTTCTCCGCCACCAGCTCCACACCCTCGTCCGTCACCTTGCTGCACCCGCTCAGCGACAGCACCGTCAGGTTGGGCAGCGAGTGGACTGTCGATATTTATTTATCACATGGTAATATTTACAACAAAACAATCTTATTCTATACTAATACAATAAAACGTAAACACACAATTCTTAGTTATGTGTGATGTTAGCAATCTTACTTCTAAATAATTCTTTTTTTTTTTAAAAAAAAAAAAGCTGTCCATTAACGACACTCTTAAAGGTTTTGTGTTTTTGTTATTTGTATATTATTATCGTAGAGAAAGGGACAAAAACTACAAACTAATACCAGCAAAGAATCAAGGTTACCATAGTTACGTTAAATTTGAGTCAATACCAAAAGCCTTTGGTGACCATTCGAGTATTTAATTTTTATATTTGCAAACACAAGTAATTTGGAATGTAAACAACGAAACAGAGATTTTATAATATCACACGGTCAAAGCCGCACTTGAAGAGTTAGTTACAAAAAAATAAGACACAATACCTATATTAACAATCCCATGATTGGTAAGCTCCCAGCAGCTGTGAAGTTTCAGCACACTCA